AGAAAACGATTTGTTGACAATTAGGAAACTTTAAGTTTAACTTATAACAGAATAATTTCAACTGCATTTTTGGTGTTGTTTTTGGATCGGAAAAGAAAATAACAGAAAACAACTCGTCATTAATTAAGCTGCATTGTGCTATTCATCAGCATAACTTAACAGCAAAAACTATAGATTTTAAAAAGCTTAAATTGTTAGTAGTTAAAACAATAAATAGCATTAAATCTACTATTTTATTTCTTAATGAAGACGATTCTGAATATGGTGGACTGCCTGGTTATACTGATATGAGATGGTTTTCTATAGGTATTATGGTGCAAATTTTTTGATTTGAAAACAAAAAGTGAAAGATTATCTAATACAAAGACCTGGTCCAACATTACAATATAATTAACAAAGAACTCCAAGGAAAAGACCAGTTAATTATAAAAATGTACAATCTTATAACAGCTTTTCAGTTTAAACTAACTTTGTGGGAGAAGCATTTAAGAACTGGAAATGTCCGTCATTTTCTTACCTTAGGTGTGCTAAATCCTGGAAACACTGCAAAGTTCGTTACCAGTATTCCTGAATTAAAAACAAGATTTTCGAAAAGATTTGCAGATATTAAGAAATATACTGGAAAAATCAAATTGTTTACTGTGCCATTCTCAGTTGAATTTGTACCAGAAAAATTAAAAAGGAATTTAATTGATCATAGATGAGTTTTTAACTTAATGAAAGTTTTGGAAATTTTTTTTTTATGAAAATCCAAAAACTATTTTAATTAAATAATTGCAGTCAACTAATTGACGAAGGTATGTGGTTATAGTCTGAAAAGTTGGCAAAGAGAATAAGGAAGTAACTAAAAACTACTGAATAAAGATGTTTCTCTAAAATTCTCTAAATTTAAATATCTCAGTTTAACCTTAAATAACCTGCAAGGTGCGATAATTTACTTACAAGATAATGATTTAAATGGCCAAAAAAACACATTTTTTATCTTTCAAATTTCAAAATTTCAACTTTGTTTTTGTTATATTTTTTACCATCTTTGGCTTAATAAAACCAGTTATAATTGTTTATACCAGTTAAATTCGCTCGTCAAATTTAATGGAATAACGTTTTATTTTTGTTCAAAAGTTAAAATGAATAATTTAATACTAGGAAGAATTGCAACATGCAAAATAAAATATTGTTTCGTTATGTTCGAAAAATTAACTTTTAACAATTTTAACTTTACTTTCTGCACTTTGTTCTGCTATCTTTTTCTGCTGCATTTTACATTTTATTTTTTGTAATAGTTTTTACTTTCATTTAAAAGTCTTTTTAAAAATTTGTCACTTTCATCTTTAATCGGAGAGATGTCCTTGTTTGATAACCAAAAAAAATAAATTAAAGTGTATGCAGGTATCATCTCAAACATAAAAAGAGTGCAATTTAAAACAGACAACCATAGATTAGAAACCCTTACAGTTTTGTTTGTGACATCTGAGGTTTGATATCAGAATTTTTTAAAAAAGTAAGAATCTTTGGGCTGATTTAAAAATCAATGCAGATATCATCCAGTAAATTTTAAACTAACTTCCCAATAGAGTGAATTGAAAAATTTCTGCATTTGATGACTTTAATATCAAGTAAGTGAGGAACCGCTTTTCTTAATCTTGTTTCAAACCCACTGATTTTTCCCTTCATATAATCGGTTGAATCTGTTAAATTGCAAACAAGACTACTTAATGGAATTGTATCTTTGTTAAACGAATAAAAAACAGCCTTAAAATGACTTTTAGTGCTTTTCCCTAACATGCCGTGATAATGCATATCGTTTCGGTACAGCTTTGTTAGCATTGTTAAATTAACTTCTTACGCAAAAAAAAAAAAAAAAAACTAATTAGAATGATTTAAAAAGAAAAATAAAAGGAAAAAAAATAATTACAAAAAATAATCCTATGAAAACTAAAGTTATAGAAAATGTACCTGCTTAAATGCAAACATTGTCATACTTGAATTTTTTTTTATAAAATTTTCACTAGTCAAAAGCAAAAACATCCACAGATTTCTATAAGGTTAAAGGAACTTTGAGTGAATTTCAGAAATTCTAGGAGTTCTCAGAAAAAACTTATCTATGGCTGATGTTTAATAAAATGATGTTTCAAGAGAGGTGTGTTATTAAGAAAACTTGATCAGATATTTTACAAAAAATCCTATCAAAATAAGATGGGTGTCTTGTTTAGTGGCACATACTTGTGTAAAAGTTTTCTTGAACAATATTTGCATATTCTAAAATGAGATCTGTATTGACAGATAACAATTTGCTAAACACTTTAAGAACTGCAACCAGTCAATTGCCAATTGATATTTAACCCTTTACTGGCCAAATTATGACAATTTATGATAAAAGATATCATTTTTTGTTATTTAACCAATTTAAATAAAAAAAACACATAATTGAAAAAAAAAAATCAAAATTTTGTATTTTTGGTCAAATTTGGGTTTAACGCCATATAGCATCATTGGTCAATTAAGATAATATGGAAAAAAGAAGTTATAAAACACTTTCATTGAAATATACGCAGATATACATATAAACACCTCAAACAAATAAGTTCTAGTTCAAAAAGTTTATTTTAACATATGTAAGAACTAAGAAAACTCTAATTACAGTTTTACTCAATTGTGAAAGTTTACATAGCAGTCACGATCGGCTACCAAGCAGAGGAAAGCATTACATTTTGCACACATCATTCTGCTATAACAATGACACACTCTAAATCATTTTTTATCTTTTTTTGGTTTTGGCCAGTGTCCAATCTAATCTTATCTATTATCATTAATAAGGATTGGTGTGGCTGGTTTCTTTCTATTCTTTTTTTGAATCTACTCAATACTGCTACGTTTAGCTGGTCTTCCTCTACGCTGAGTTGCCATTGATTTTTGGTGTGGATAAGAGCATTTGAAATATCTACTATAAATTCTGCTAATGCTTGATGCTTGGAAAACCTAACTGCTTATAATGTCGTTTATATAAGATCCAGGCATTCACTTTAGCCACATCTACAAAATGCCAAAATACTTTGATGTACCACCGTTGTGTTTTTTCTTCTGTGCAGTATAGGGCAATTAGCATATGAGCTAGGTCTACACCTCCCATGCATTTATTGTATGCTGTCACTATATATGAGCGAGCAATTGCTTGTTTTTCTTTTTCTCTACTGCACCAGCAATATATGGTACTCATAGGTGCTATGCCAAAACAGTTAGATACTAAATGAACAATACTGTTGCCTAACCATTTCACTACAGTTATTGAATTTTTATCAATACAATAATCAAGTGAACCTCTATCTTGCTTCTTGAGTTCTTTTGATGGTATTATTGGGCACCCATGAAAAGATTTTTTTTAAAGGTAATTTATTTTGCTTTAAGTTTTTTCAGATTAAAAGATATTTTATTTTCCTAATTTTTTTTTTTTTTTTTTTTGTATTTGTCTCTCATTGATCCAATTAATCTTTTGCGCATTTTTTTCTTTTGCTTTTTGAAATGTTCTCAAAACGACTAAAAAGTCTGGCCAGCTTTTTGCAGCTAAATATTATTTCTGTGGTCAGCAATCGAGAGCGATCGCTCCCACTTCATGACCAAGCCTGAATTAAAGAATATCGAAGAGAAATGGACCAATAGTTACTGTAGGCAGGTAATTTTACTAACCCCATCAACATTTGCATCCCAATTAACAAAGAAATTTCATCAAGATATTGTATTGATGCACTTCCCTGATTTTTGTGTGCTGTAAAAGTTTGTGTTTTATTAAAGAAGTGAGCTTATTTTATCTGGTATGTTCTTAAATCGATGTTCATTTAAACTCCTAAAATTACTTTGATACTGGTGTTTTTATTTTTTTAGAGAAGCTAGTGGTATATCATTTTCATCTTCATTATTTTCATCATCAACATCATCATCATCAGCAGCAGTATAATTGTCAGTGTTGTCAGTCTCATAGACTAAAAACTCATCATCATCTGATAAATCAGATAACTCAGACACATCTCCATTATTTACAAAATCTATTACATCAGAAACTCAAAATTTCTTTTGCTGTGCACAAAATACCAATCACTTCTTAACTAAAATACCCTCAAATAAATCTTTATAAATTGTATTTTGAATATCATTTATTAAAGTATTGTACAAATGCGCTATTTTGGCCTAAGAAAATAAAAAACAAAAGTTAGATATTTGAGGTTTTTGCGTCTTCCTTCTACTACTATTTTAAACCTTTTGTTTACTTTTAACAAAGTAAACTATCATTTTGAATAGTTTTAGCATGCGTACACCTTGATTTTGAATAACAAACAAACGCATTCTCCTTTTCATAGGCTTTAGTAAGTTATAAAGGAACTCTTACAGTCAATTATGCCTTGTGGCATCACAGGCCCATAAAGGGTAAAAATATTAGGAAAAAAATACTGTTACCAATAAACTATTATTTATACTGTGGTTAACATCTAGGTAATATATGTGTGCGTGATATTTCTTTGCAAGACTAGAAGTACCAAATTCAGTACTTTTAAGAAAGATAAATTTTTAACCTACATAATAGCTGAGACACAATAATGTCCGATATCAAAAAAGATATCGCCACCCCTGCCTTAGACTAGTAATATTATCTATTTTAGATATTATTCTGTACTGCAATTTAAAAGCTAATTTGTGCAAACATTTCAACGAATGATTGTACCAAATTTTTATAAAAAATTTTAAGTAATTTATTACATTAAAAATATTTTTTTGTTCTTTATTTTTTAGAACCATGTTGATATCAAAAAAAGCTGTTTTTTTTTCGCTAATGTTTCGTATGTATGTTTTAAAACTTTTGCTTCACCAAAATATTAATAAAAGATTGTTTTATTAAACATTTACAACATTGTTTTATTTTAAACATTAACAATATTATTTACAACAAACTTTTTTAATAGATTAAAAATGAGAAAAAAGATGTAGTGAAAAGGAAATGCTATACAAACTTCATAGAATTCAATTTCAAGTTGGATGGTACAGTTTTGTTGAACTTCTTATAAAGGTTTTGTATCTTAAAAACAATTAGTTATTAAACAATCAAATATTTATGAAAAGACAAACTTTGTAAGATATTGGTAAAATTATGTTAAAATAAATACTGCAGTTTTAATTTTGCCTTCCAGTGTTTGACTTTCGACATAATTTTCATCTGTGAAAATAATACCAAAGTTGACTTTCACATCTAAAAACATATCCAAAACTATTTTTCAGATAAAAAAGATAAGATATATTTTATTTTAAAAAATTTATACATAATAAAAGGTATGAGGTAAAAATAGATAGACTGACTTCAGAAAACTAAAGGACTTGGACGAAAAAAGAAAATAGAAAAAAAAAAAAAAAAAGAAAAATCAACAATAACAAAAAGACAACCTGAAAAATCTCTTTGTTACAAATAAATCTTTTGGGGTGAGGGGAGAAATTCAAAGACAAAATTATTGTTGATAAAATGTGTTTCTATAGTCAAATAAGGCAAACAATTAAAATCTAAAAATTTGTTTTAATTTCAAATCTTTTATATACAATCTTTTTACAATTGACCTAGTTATATTATTAATTTAATTTTTGTCAAGTAGTTAAATACATTAAGAGTTATAATTTATTCAAGCAGTACCTACAAATAGGAGTACTATTATCAAATAAAAAAAGTTTTATTTAAAAATAAAAAGAGTATTACAAAGAAATATCTTTACTTTACTTTAACAGTTTCATAAAATATCACGTTATTATAAAACAGCTGTAGTGCTTTTAAAAATGTTTTTATAAAAATTATTCAAATTATAGTCAAAACAATTATCTGACTTTTTAATTTCTGAAAAGGTTCTCTCCTCAAAAGTAATTTGATTGTTTTATATTGTTTTTTAAGTGATCAAAAATTGCTATCAAAGGTTATTGTTATGTTTTTATAGTAATACCAACAACTATTATTTGATAAATAAATTATGAGAAAGAATTTTAAATATGCTTTATTTTATTGATAATCATTCTAACTGGTGCAACTTTAGAAAAAAAAATCAAATGCTGATGTAATAACTTCGCTCAATTAAAGTGACATTGACGTTGATACACAAAAAATAATTATAACAAACATTTATCTGATGCAAAATTTTTGCTAGTATATCAAACCAAAGACAAGCACCGATTTAGGGTAGATGAGGAAAAAGTTTCATATAAAAATAAACTTTAAATTTTTTTTTTAATGACCTGTTTATTATTGTGATGGTTTTTATTTATTATGAATTGTCAATCCAGTACTTCTAAAAAAGTTGATATAGCAAAGCTTTTGTATAATTGAGGAACTAATGGTTTAGATCCATCAAAAGTCAACGATGTCTAGCACAATTTCTTTTTGAATATAGAGATTATCAAAAGGATTCCAATGATGATTTTTCAGTTTCTGACTTTTCTGACAATCAAGCATCTAGCGACGATGAAGTGAAAATGACCAAGAATCAAATTCTAACCTCATCTTTGTACAATGAGCCGAGGACTGAGAATGAGCTTTTAACTTGAACTTTGCAGTATCAACCGGCAACCGAAAATGACATAGTCGTTCTTGATAACACCAGATAATAATTCCTCTCCATTCACTTTGTTCACAGTTATTTTAAGGCAATTTGAAAAACAGCTGAAATATCAAATAACCATTTTTAAAGATATTTTCTATTGAGAAAAAAAAAATCCTATTTGATTAAAATATTTTATTTTACTTTTTTTTTTTTTATTGGTACTCTTTATGAAAAATACATTTATATTTCATGTAAGATTTGTCATATTTGATTGTAGTAAAAAGTAACATAAAGAACCCATCATTTTAGAGAGTTTAGGTGCTAAATATATGAGCATTATGATGTTCACTTTTTTAACATTGTATATGCCCTATACTATTTTCAAGTGAACATTTATGTTTAATAATTGAAAATCATGTCTATTTGCATTAACTTATAGAAAAGGTCACTCACTAATTAATAAAAATAGTCAGATTTGTATTTGCATTTTTGTATTGAGTTTTTTTTTCTTCCTATTATTACACAGAATAAATTTTAAATTGAGTTTCTAGAAGTTTATACATGAAGGAATGTGGTCTTCAGCAACATTACTGCTCTTTCAGCACAAATATTGCTGGGCTGGATGTTTTCAATAATTGACAGTTTTATAATTATCTTTTACTACAAACTACTTTAAGTTGTTCTCTAGATGAGCTTACAAGAAAATAACTGGAAAGTAAATTGCTACTGAATTTTATTATGAATAGTGAAGAGATTGTAAAGTAATACGATAATTAATTTTACACAACTATTCTTTTTTTTTTTTCATAGAAAAGTAAATAATAAAGTGGTTTTATATTATATTTAAGCTTTTAAGTTATAAGTTTCAATTGTTTTAAATTAAAAAATTATAAGTTTTACATTAGTTATTAGATACTGCTATATGTTTTTTTTAATTTAAAGTATAAATATAATAGATGAGTGACATGAAAAAAGCAGATTTTTTTTAATATACAGAATCAACAAACCACTTTAAAATCTAAAATATATCATTTACATGAAACTTATTGTGAAGTATCAAACCCAAGCTCACCAAAATTTAACAAACATTGTAAACAGTTAATGTGATTTAAAAAAAATACTTTCCTATTGATCCTTAACAACATCAATAACAAAGATAAAAAGAGAACATGGAGTAACATAGAATTGTAATAAAGATAACATTATTATCTTGTGTAAGTTTTTTTTTTTTTATGAATCCGCTGATTGTATAATGTTAAGTTTTTGCAGAGAAAGACTTTATATATTTATATTGAGAATGACTGTGGCCATTATTTCCATATTTTATATTCTATCAATATGCTTTTTTTAAATCTGAAAATAATGTATTCAATATTGATATTTAGAAAAACGCAGCAAACTTCCCAGCGGGCATTTTGACGTCCTAAGAACGTCCGTAAGACGTCTTAAGTCTCGTCCGTAAGACATCCTTAGTTGGTCTCAAATGAAAGGCTTGAGGACGTCCATTCCGGACGTCCAAAAGACGTTTTTTAAAGACGTCCTAGAGACGTTTTTTGCAGACGTTCTAGAGACGTCTCTGGCTGGTCTCATATGAATGACTTAAGGACGTCTTTTTCAGACGTCCTAGAGACGTTTGAATTTTACCAAGACATTCTTTTAAAAGTTATATAAAAATGCAATGATTTACAACACACACCTTAGATTTGCCTTAATCTAGGCAAGGGAAGTTATAAAAGGAAATCAATGTAAATAAAGTGTAATTTGATATATTTAAAATAAATTAATAACTTTATAAAAATTAAGAATAATTTTTCAAACAAAAAAGTTAAATTTTTCAAATTAAAAACTAATAGGTACTGTAGAATATAATCGATAGTGCATTATAAATAGAAGAAAATTGCTTAAAAATGGAAAAAAAATACAACAGTTAATTAAGCCAACATTGATCGAAATCCATATTAGTCGATGTTTTCTTTATTCGGTCAGAAGAATGCCTAACTACTCTCCCAATAAGTTGGATAGCATCCATTTTGATTAAGTTTTTATTTGACTTTAAAACAGCTTCTAATAAAAACAACAAAACATGCTTCAATAAAATCATAAAATAAAATATATATGTTATACATACACTTGAATACATGTCATGTTCCAGAGCCTAAATTTTTTTTTTTTTTTTAAAACATCATTTTTAATTTTTAATTAATCAAACACAATAAGCTAATAAGAATACCAGTGACAGCGTTACATAGACTTGTCAACTCTTTAAACTTTTTTTCTTCTTTAGACAATTCATGCTGTATTCTGACAAAATAGTGTCTGTTGGCAGTCTACATATATAAAAAAGAAGATAAATGCTCTACTGTCAATCATAAATGTTAAAATTCAAACTTTTGCTAATTACTTACAAGAGCAAAATATTTTTAATTGTATCAGCTAGATTTTTATTGCCAATTAATGATAACTGTTTTATCTAAAAAGAAACAATGTATAAGAAACATTGAAAATGTTTATGACAATTTAAAATAAATATTGTAATAATATATATCATACAAACTTTAAAGATGAAACTCATGTATACAAAAGTGATGTATTGGATATCTCCATTTGCAAATTTTTTTTTTCAAAACATTAAGTTTATCTGAACTTTTACGTTGTTTAAAACCTTCTTCTGGATTATTAGAGAACAGTGCAGTTCTATCTACTAAAATTTTTTTTCATTTCAGCAAGTTAGAATATAAATTTTTTCTGAAACTTTGAAAAATAAAATATATAAGTAAAGCCATATAAATAGTATATAAAGTAGTAAATAGTAATTCCTATATATGGTTGAGAAGAGGTAGATTTTTATTTTTTTTTTTTTTTTTTTTTTATTTTGATTCACCTCCTCAAGGCCGAGAAGGCCACTACAGACGAGGAGGCTACTTATTTGTGGCTATAACCCTCTCTCAACTCTATAACTCCGAAACACGAACCTTGACGAACAAGGCCGCTGTGCGGAGAAACGAGTTGAGCGCGGTACTACCAGGGACGTGGTGGGGATCGAACTCGGAACCACTCGTTTATGAAGCGAGCGCTCTACCACTACACCACTACCGCATTTTAGATTTAAACTAAATAATGCAAAAAATCTCAAGTTTCATGCTTAACCTTATAAGAATATATATGTATATATATAATGAATATGTATGCATCATATAAACATAATATAATGTATAAATCATGTATATATAAATAATAATACATCAAATTAAATGAAACCACACAGTAACTAGGTGTCAACATAAGTAATAATCTTAATAATTATTTATACAACCAGAGATGGAAAGATCATAAAATTGAACGAAACAACACAGGAACAACAAAATATATACAATTTATTTATTCATTTACCTATTTCTACAGTAAAGATATTACAAATCTTAG